GTCTTCATTGTTTTTCTTTAGCTAGCTTACCTCCATGACTGGTGTGATGTTTTCAGCATTATTCTGATGCCCTTTGGTATTACTGCATAGTTAGTGAGGTATCTGACTTGGATGTTGTTAAATCATCTGGTTCCTGGTTCAAACACCATGTCACCAGCATTGTGACAGATGATTGTAATTTACAGATTAGACTGAAAACTGACTAAATATTAACATTTTATTCAGTGTTGGGTGCATAGATTGTGGTTATCCAAAGGTTCTCTTCATCAAGGTAAAAAGAGACTCGATATCCCTAGAAACTCCCATGAGACAGAATGGGCTAACCAGGAACAAGAAAAAGCCCGAAGAATCTACTTCTGCCATCAGATGGGGCAGTAATTTATGAAAAATGTGGGGTTTAGTGAAGCAGAATTTACACATTATTGGAGACAAACACCTGCTAAATTTGAACAGCCACCCTCTTCAATTTTTTCGTTTGTATCTCAATACAGCTGAAATGAATTTAATTACTTTTTATTTCTTCTTAATGGCTAGGAATATGATTATCCCTCAGAGAAAAGCTTTCAACCAAACCACATAAAAGCACTTCTTCTGTGACACTAGTGTCTATGAACCATTGTTTCAGCATGTTAATGTGCTGCAGTAGCAATAGATAAGGATAGAAGTGTGTGGTCAGAGAGGCCAGAGTTGTTTATAAAGACTCTCTGGGGACTAAGAAACAATCTATTCACTAATATAAATCATGAGCTGTTAAAGTAAAAAATGAAATCTCTTTCACAGGAATGAAGAAATCACCAGACATCAATGGAATTACATTTGGTGCACTTATGTATTATTCAGTAGACAATAGGGATTGTAGTAATTGATCTTGGAGAGGATAATATTTATCCAGATGAATCTTTTACAGACAGTTAAAATCTTTTTCACTCCATTAGTATCTGCAGCAGCAAAGTCATGGCCACAGGAAATGAAGATAAGTTTAAAACCCCTGACTCTGGATGGCTTAAGACATTCATAGCAGTACTGGTGTAGTGTTTTTAATGTTTTTCTACCAAAAATCAAACTTTCTTGCTATTTTTAAGTGCTCTGTTTAATCACAATTGCCACAGTCATTTCAGACAATTCCAATCTGACTTGCCTTTCCTGGCTGTTTACAAGACACTTCTGCCCAAAGATAGTGTCTCTGTAGGTTATTTGCCTTTCTTTAGAAAAGCACGAATTTCCAAGACAAACCTCTGTGGGTCTTTGCATTTCTGTAATAAAAAAGTCTTCCATCTTATATGGAATGTCTTTTATGTAGGGCTGAGTTACTCAGTATCAGATTAACATTACCTTTCTAGTCCAATTTGTCAGATACAATATTTTTCTGTTTTAATCAAAGTTAATACAAGACTAAAATCCAATTTTAAACAAAGTATAGGAAAAGAAAAATCGACAATGAAATTGACAGCAAAGTCTGGTTTGATAGATAAATACTATAGATTATTATACCTGAACTGTGGAAAATGTATTTCTTAATTCATACTAGGTCCTAGAGAAGCACTTTTTTTTCTCCAATGATTTCTCCTTTTATTACCAAATATTTATTTCTTATTCCAAATCTATTTAGTGGAAAAGAAACTACATCCAGGAATGGAAGGACTGTGCATAAACGAACACCCACTTCTCTCCACAGGGAAGTATAGGCACTGAACTATGGAGTCTACAAAGGTGTAGAACAGCCTAAATGGAATGTTTAAGAAATGCTGAGAATGTTGGTGTTTCCTATGCCTCATTTGTAAGAAGTATCTGAGAAAATATCTGTTTAGCTCTCGTGATTCATAACCACAACCATAGCTCATAATCTACTACTTTCCAAAGTTGTACACCTCAACAAAGGCTACATTCTATTAAAACAAAACCAAAAAAAAAAACCAAACAAACAAAAAAAACCCACCAAAACAAAAAACAACTAAACCAAACTATTAATTGTCCACTCAACAGCAAAATGATTAGAAAATTCAGAGTTACTAAAATTTAAGTCATAGACCTCACAATTTCTGAGGCTTGAACCAGTTTCTGTTGCACTATCCTCAAGGACCTCCATGCTATATGTAGAACATGAAAATTTACAGGAGAACAGCAGATACCCAAATCTTCTCTTTTAGGGAAGGGCAAACTGTGACTACAGCTTAGTGAATACATACTTCTTCAATTTAAGTATAAAAAGTTAAAACTCACACTTCAGTAACACCCAAATTAAGGGGTAAAGGCAATTCCATAGGATGAAGATGGTGTGGATTCAGGTCTGTTATGCTAGAGGATGGGGATGTGTGTTGGTCTCCCATAGTCCAGATGAATTGTCTAGAATTACCATCTTTATTCTTCTGTTTTGTGAGGTATCACTGAGTAGATGTTTTCCCAGAGTTTTTACAAGACTGCCTTGAACTAACTGTGAAATGGGCAGAAAAAAAAGTGATCCAAATGTAGGATTACTCATGAAAATACATGCCTTGCCACTTCCTAGGCTGATGTGTTCTTTATTTTCACTGCCTTTTTTCCTGTTCTCAAGTCCCTTTCCAGATTTTTCTCCATCATTCTTTCTTCGCAGAATACAACTTTTGAAAATGCAGATTTGAGATTTTTCTCTCTCCCATTTGTGCCCAAAAGATCCATATGTTTATGACACTTTGGACTCCATTTTCTCTAACTTTGTCAGTTTCTGTGAGTTTAACCCTTTAATCTTAAAGGCCAATTCTCTTGCTCTGTTTGAGACTATGTAACAAATAGTATCACATATAGCTAAATGTTTTGTAAATGAAATGGGAAATCTTACAGGTTGGAATAGATAGGAACAGAGTGTTATACATTTGACTAAAGAGGATTCAGTGGACGGTGCACTGTATCTTCTGTCACAAGACAGCTCAGTTTCCCAACAAGGCATTGCCTTCCCGGACTTTCTCATGTACTAAAAACCAGCTTTGTCATAAGGACTATTTTGTCTTAGGTGATTTTATGTACTATATTAATATTAATCATTATATAAACTTTTATAACTGAACTGATTTTCCACTGTTTTCATCACAACCCATTTCTATTGTAAGCAATGATGTACAGAAAATATTTTTTTTTTTAATTAGCAGTTTGCTGTTATTTTGACAATTACTGTTTCTTGCTTGATGTGTGTTATTATTCATTCTCTATACTAGAAACAAGACAGCATGGTAGGAAGGATGTGATTCCACTAATAACAATAAGGATCACATTGAAATGGGAACGATGTTAAATAACTATTTCCATATTAAAAAAGAATCAAATATTCCGAACTTATAATTCCAGAAGCACTTGGGAAAATGTAATCAGTTAAATAATGTAGAAATATTGCATTCTGCCATGTAAATAATTTTCAAAATAATTGCAGTTGTGAACCCACTCCTTTGTATAGTCAATGAGTTTTTGTCCATTTAAATGCAGTCATAGCTGCAGAGACTTGTTTTTATAAAGTAAGCAGTGTTGAACACCAAGTATAATAAAAGATTTAGCCTCAGGCTGATACTGGATAATCATTATATCTTTAACTTACAATATACACATACTCCTAATTATACTAATATGCTTATACTGTCCATTGAACCCATATATTCAATTCTGGTGCTTAAAGTCATTAGCATCTTAAATAAAAACAGACAGAAATATGTGATGAATATAAAGAAGCATAAAAAATAATGCTCACTTTCCCAAATGACCTGCAAAATTGTATTAATTTTTGTTTGGTTTTGATGTCTAAAGGTAGCCTAGGCTTTATATATGCATTTTAAAATTCCAGGTTCTCTTGAGGATTTGTGGAAGGATTCAAAGTAATTTGCCTGTGAATTTTCACATCTTAAGTTAGGGTGTGAATATGCTGAATCAAAGCTTTCTGCAAACTCCTTCCTTCTTACTCTCTCAATTATTACTTCTTTGCCTCTCATTATGCTTCAAATTAACTGGTTTTACCATAGATGCAAACTTTTGAAGAGGGGAAAAAAGCAAGGAGAAACAAGGCCACACTGAACATAAATATGTAGCACAAATCAACAATACCAGACCATTCTCTTGGAAATACCACTTTTTGTTTTGTCGGTTTGTTTTCATAAGCTCTCCTTAACTTGTTCTTCATGAGTATACTAATTTTAATAATGGAATTGTTTGAAATCAGTCATGGAAAGTTAAGATTTTAAGTTACATTTTGAACTGAAATGTGATGTGGAGTTATGAGAAAATTATACCTTTTGTTTCATAGTGTTTAGAGGACAGAACTGGTAAGAAAATAAAAGACAGATCAGAGATGGGGCAAAGCAGAGAGAAAAAGAGCTAACAATAATTTATCCTGACAACCATGGGTTGCTGCTATTAATAGATGTGATTATTCAGCCCATCTTTAATTGTGATACAGACTGAATGAGTGTTCATTTTTTTCTCTTTCAAACTATATAACAAAATATCCTCAGTCATTGGCATTCATTATTAATGATGTTACATTGCCACAAAACATTTGTGCTTCTGAGCAGTTTATTTTTAGAGATTATCTCAGAAATAAATGTCAGTCTGTGTCAATGGACAATCATCTAGACAAGTAACACAAATTTGCGACATCTTATCACTCCAATGAGAAATTGCTCAAGCCTCTGCCTCCTGCTTATAGCATCACTAAATATTGGAGATGTTTCCAAACTGTGATCTTTTTAAGGTTGGATGTCCTTTTTAAGGCAGCATCTTATTGCACTGTTCAATATTTTTATTATGGTTCTTGGTATGCCTAGTGAACTGTTCTGTGAGGACTCATTCCTTTCTTGTATTGAAGTCAGACCTTGACATATCACTGATATGAAAGATTTAAAAAGGGACTAAAACTAATTCAAGAAAAGGAATGAAATTAAAAATATGATCAAATAAACAGTATGTGGGTAAGGACAAGTTTAAAGTTACTAATAAGTGCTGATTATCAAGCTGCTTTTCTACCCTTTTTCTCTCAACTTCAGGATAGCCTGTTTTAGGAGAGTGATGGATAGTGCAAATGAAATGTCATTCCCTGAGATCTCTGTCATGTTTGCTACATTAAACCAACACCCTCTCTGGCCTATATCTTCTGTTTCCCTGGCCTGAAACAGTCTTGGAGTCTCAGCTGGCTCTTGCCAAAATGTACCAGAATGGATCTTCTCCTCTACCTGGCTCCTTTGGTGATGGATCGCCAGCATTGACAGAGCTTCTCCAATAGCCAGACCTCAAGGAGTAGAGAACAACCTCTCTCCAGTGAGTGTACGATTCCCCTGTTCAGCAAGTTGCTCCTATTCTGTCATACCATTCTCTATGACTCCCAGCAGACTTTCTACCACCCTTGTCAGATTGCCTCTGCCTTCACTAATTTATGGGGCAGGACCCTGCAGTGTGCTGGCCCAGCACTTATTCACTGAGCTCAGAAGCTTTCTAATTGGCTCAGCTCAGGTTTCACATTTTTTGCACCCTGATGGTCACACCAGACCTACTAGAAGTAAAGTTGAAGGGCTTCCTGCAGTCATCATCCTTATTAGCTTTTAATAGCGACCCCTGGAAACTCTTATAGGAGATAAGAGACTATAAATGTATAAATATTTGTACTATAGTCTGACATACCTTAAATATAACTTGTAGTTATTCTGTGCTTCTATAAATTGTCTTACCTGATTTAGAGATAAGAATGTAAACTATACCTTACTTTTGGCTAATAAAAGGTTCCAGCAATTGAATTTATTTATTTTTTCATTAACTACTCTGATTTCATTATACAAGTTTGGAGTTTTGCTTGAGGGAAAAAGGAAGCATTATTAGCAACAGATAAGATTCTTTTATGTGCTCACATATATGTGGTTAATCTGCACAATAGCAAGTATATAGTATTTTTCAGACAAAATAACAAAAAACCACAGAGGTTACCTCTACCACGGGACTTGTAATTGAATATGATATGCATATCTGCATCCTTTACTTACATAAACGGTCCTCTTGTCTTAGTAGCTCTTACAGGAGCAATGTGACAGTGTCCAACTTGAAACTATCAGATCCTCAGTTGATGTAAATGATAAAGCTCCATCTAGATCAAGACAGGTCTGTCATATCAACTTGCAGCTAGTGAAGATCTGGTCTACAGAGGGCCACAGAGGATCATTTAAAACTGCCTTAATTAAAGCAGGACATAACTGTGATGGTTCAGTGAGGTCAATTGGAAAATAAGGTCTTTGGCAACCAGAGTAGGAAAGTGTGAAGAAACGGCCACAACATCAGTCCTTTGAGTACTCTTGAGTGAATTGCTCCCTGTCACCCTGGCAGATATGAAGGTCTGTTTCTGTCTTGTCACAAACAGTATTTGCAAAATGATCAACTGCTTAACACATACTTATCGATTTGCTGTGCTCTGGGAAGGGCAAAACAACTCAGTAGGATGCAAGAATCACAACCAACAGAAAAGATCTAGGTCACTGGGACATGATAGACCTTGTCAAGTTTATTTGCATGTTGCCTGATTTCAGAAAACTTTATGGCGTACAGAAACACAGGAATAAGGAACCTGAACACCCTTCTACCCCATGAATATGAGAAAATAAGTTGGTTTAAGTCTCTTCATTCAGTCAATACACATTACAGCACTGCTGTCTCTTTCTGCCTTTCTTCTCTTTTCTTTCCCTTTTTCCTTTTTTTTTTTTTTTTTTTTTTTTTCCCCTTCAGAATGTTGATTTGGCAGAATTAATGTGACCCAGTACAACAATACTTACTGCATTTATTCCAATATTATCTCCCTACTATCTCCTTTTGTACTTCATCATATACAGGCTACAGATGTCATACTTAATACTATGCTCATCCAACTCAGATATTTTTCTCAAGGAAATGCTTTTTATCATCTATGTGATTGAAAATTAAACAAACTACGATTAAAAATCTGACAAAGACCACAGAGAGAAAAGTAGAAATTAGTCTATCTACCAAATGTTTATAGCAATCCAGAATCAAATGTTTCATATCAGTCATGAGGTTTGTTTTCATTTGTTAAATTTTTAAAACTGAAAAAGAAATTTTAAATTAAGTAAAATCTCAAGTTAAGGAAGTGAACTGTAGATTTTAATTCTGCTAGATTTTTTTTTTCTGTTTGGTTATAGTACTTCTTCTAAATATTGTAAATCAGTAAAATGCTTCAGTGAACCTGAATCTTCTAAATAATTTTGTGGCATTTTTTTTCCAACAGAAGGCAAGTGAAAGATTATGCCCTAATCTAAAATTGAGCTTTATTTACTTCTTAGTTTTCTAGATACCAAGGATCATATATTTCTTTCCATATACCCCAGACTTGAACAAACTTCATGTGGAAATCGAACAAAGGAAACATCTCTGGTTTTCTATGTACGTGTATTATTTTACTCTTCAAGCATGTGAGGCTTGTTTGAGCAGTGTAATGTTAGAAGTAAATCAGAGATGGATCAGAGTGTACAAACAAAAAGGAGGAGGTCAAACCAGGGTGAATGTATTCAGAGATCCACAAAATAGATGTTCATGTATATCATGTGTGCAAGACAGTGACAGTGATGTGTACATATATTTCCATATGACTATGTATACAGAATCATAGAAACATTAGACCTTTAAGATTGAGTCCAACTGTTAACCTAACACTGTCAAGTCCACCATCAAACCATGTCCCTAAGCACCACGTCTACAGGTCTTTTAAATACCTCCAGGGATATGTACATAACCCACTCCCAATATGAGCTATTTTTAAATTGTCTTTACTGATTTGTAATGGATTCTTCCACTTATATATGCAAAGTAATGCTGTGTTTCAGTGAAATACTCTAAGTGGTGGCAACAGCTGACTTCTTAGTCACGTGGTCACTGTGTGTGAAGGTGTCTGAATGTGTAAAACTTTACGTTAAAATTTTCCTTTATTACTGCTGAATAGCAAAATGGAGTCAGCAGTTTAGATACAATAAAGAAAGCAGTGTTGGAAGGTTATTTAAATGAAATATAGCCTACTGAAATATTCGACCCTTTTATTTAACACTGTACAAGGCTCCTCTGAGATCAGTAATATTTGAGAAAGCTGCCTTCTATTCCAGGTACTCCTTGAATATAAGCAGATGTTCATGTCAACTTTCTTTAGAACAGCTAGATGACAAGAGAAGTAGAAGAGAGAAATATTTTACAATTGAGTCTTTTGGCGGGATTTTCGGGAGGTGTTGGTGTTTGGGTTTTTTTTTGTCCTAGAAAATGCTTTTATCTTGTTACTGTAAACAAAGTGCAAGTCATCTAATTTGATAAATTATTACCTTTCTTCATTACAAACACTGACTGACCTTTCTATACATGTCAGATGACAACAAGCAAGCTTTTGCAATAAGCCTGTAAGAATGAAAATAAATTAAACACACCGTTGTCAAGACAGATAAATTTGGGGGTGGGGAGGCTAAGAGTTGAATTTCAGCGTGCATATCAGTAACTTCAAAGTCATTAGTGACCTTTCTCATAGTTAGAAAATCAGAATGCTGCTGTAAATTTCAGTCTGCAGAAATATTCAGTCTATGGAAATATTCAAATTTATTTCACTGATAACAGTGTTGTGTCTTCTGAATTTAAATGCCATTCGGGCTCTGGAAACAGGACCTCTTAACAGTAATATAATTTTATTAATCAGGCTGTGTTTGGGTTGACAAACCTGTTTATCATTTGTCTGTAAGCATTCTGAGCTCTATATTGAGCCATTCATTTTTTCAGCTAAATCAGGTTGCATGAGGAAAGTGGTTGTTTCAATAGGCCACGCTGACAGGGAGTGAACAAGAACAAATAAAGCCTATGTAGTTCACTCCCGGTTTTGCAGAACCCCTCCTCACACCCAGGCTGCAGGAGGTCTGCAGGAGCCCACAGCCCTACCTCTTGCTGGTTTGTGCCTCTCTCTGCTCCCAGACCTTTAGTTCCCATTGCTGCTCATTTCAAATGGAGATCCTCAGAAAGCTGCAAGCAATCCCAGTATATATTTCCTTTTTCTACTGCATCATTTTTTTAGGAATAAAAAGCTTACTTTTATTCTTTTGGCCTGAATCCCATGGCCCATACTCCTACTACATAACCCAGAACATGCAAAGCTCAAGTCCTAATTTTTAGTATCAAATCAAAGGCAATTCAGCTCTTTCGTATCCTTTAAAGTTCTGTTTTTTCCTGACTTTTACTCCCCATGCAGCTCAGCTCTTGGTATAAATGAAAAACAGTGTTTAAGACTTTCCACTTTAAAGAGTGTAGAATTGGCAGACTGGCATCTAGATAAAGTTACAGAGCTCAAGGATACTTTGAAGTTGGAAGAGGTGAATGAACACCCAGTAGAAGGTGATAATAGATTATGAGGCAGAAAATGTCAGAATAATCATATTAGGATCCTCCTATGGCTTGCTTGACCTCTTTTTTTTAAAAAAAAAAACAACCTTCAGCTTCCCTTGCACTTGTTTTTTTCCTCTTACTCAGAAATTAAAAACATGATTTTAAAGCCAAGAAAGCAGTTGGAAACTACTCAGACTGTTAATATTTTATGTCTTGTTAGTGGAATGAATGCCACAAAAAAAGACTGCTTTTTCAAATTACAATATACAGACTTGAAGATATTTATAATTAACTCTTATAGAACTCTTTAAAAGTAGAGAACAGAATAAAGTAAGTGTTGTCTATCAGGCAGGGATAGTCAGAAAATAGCTGTTCTTTTCTGAAGTACTTTTTTCTCTGACAGAGTAATGTACAATAGGAAAACAAACATATATCTCCAGGAAATTTTGTCTATGGGATACTGAGCTGAAGCATATTGATTCACAGGCTATTTTTGAGATAAGCGTGTTGTTTCTTCCTTTTTGGCAAAAAGATGAACTAACAACAGTCTTCACTTTTGGTGAGGCTGTTGTGAGCTGAATGCTGAGATTCCTTGCTTCCATGCTAGCCCCACAGCCAGGCTTAGAAATGTCTACAGAAACAAAGAGTTGCATTCATCAGCTACCCCAGAATCAGATGACTTCACCCCACATGCATTCTTTAGCAGGCCTGAAGTTTTCTTCTGCAAGCCTAGAGGCAACTGACCTGCAAAGTCTGGTCATGACAGCCTGGAGGGTCCTTCACGTCCAAGCTCAGTCAAGGTTCCCACTGTTCTAGACAACATTGATCTGGCAAGTTCTGTTCCTACATGAGAAAATATTCTCCCAAGGGACAATCCAGAATATGACTGAAATTTGTCTACTGCACTAAGGGTT